ACTTGTTACTACTAGCTTCTTGTTACTACTAGTAAGGCACTTGTTACCAGTAGCGATGCACTTGTTACTAGTAGCTTCTTGTTACTACTAGTAAGGCACTTGTCACTAGTAGCGATGCACTTGTTACTAGTAGCTTCTTGTTACTACTAGTAGAGGAAGGGTGGTCCTCCAACATTGGCAAAATTCTCCACATGTCGTGGAGGATTTCGCCTCAAGTCCACCCGAGTCGCACGACCACACGAAAGGGCGATTTTAATATGCTGTATTGTACTGTATGTTAATCCTCCTCATTTGTAAAAACACGCAATGTCACCGCTTTCAAGTCAACCATCAACGGGAGTTTTTGGCACGAGACGAAGGAGCTGTTCGTTGACTATGGCCGCTGGTACTGGGCCAGGCTCAGGCATCGGCCGTGAGCAGCTGGACAGATCAGATCAAGTATACTCTGGCCCCCCACTTCAGATGAGTTCTACACAAAGTTTAGGCCAGTATCTCAGTAAGTCTTCCTTGCTCGGTGCAGGCCGAAGCAGCTTCCAGTGAAACAGGCAGCAGAGGCTCATGAACAGCCACTCTTTGATGCTGCAATGTTGTCCATTCCTGGCAGATCTTGCGAGCGCTGGAAGCCATGGAGAGCATCGATGCACCAGGACATTGACTGTGCAACGGTAGTTCATCAAGTCAAAGGCTTCTGCCTTTGGTTGGAATTTGTGTGTCAAGTCTGAAACTTGGAAACTCAGATTGTGGTGGGTGAGATTTCAAGTCTTTCTTGCTCCTGTTTCACTGGCTCAAAGCAACGCTGAAAGAATGAGTCGGAGCGACACTTTTTGCACTTATTGCGGAAACAGCTTGATACTTTGGCAAGGTCCGCCTCTACAGGGCGAGGTCAGCCTCTATGAACCGCGCCTTTTGCATTTGGAGCTGCGAAGAACAACTGCGAGCGCAGTGACCACACACGACCAGCAATCTCTGCGTTCTGCTTTCATTCTGAACGAGCTCAAACATCAACGCCACCAGCATGCGGGCCTTTCTCTTCTTTGCCTCGGGGGCCTTTGTACTCTTCGAAGGAATCGAGGCTCCTCTGCATACAGGGCCAGGGCAGCCAGGGCAGCCACGGGAGAGCCCACCGAGCCTTCAGATCCCTGGGCCATGCCAAGCCCCACAGAGCTCGAAGCTTGTGAAGCTGCGGAGACAGGTCTTCCGCTCTCGGATGCAAGGACTTGGATGCATCTTCGCCCCAAAAACCTGTCCGCCTTGCGCCTGGGTGGTCTTACAGATGATTGGGAAGCTCGAAGCTGGAGCAAGGAATATATGATAAGAAGATTTGGACAGCTGAAGTTCCGATTGCGTCCCTGCGTTTCATTGCATCAATATGGATATGCTGGTCCTGCTGATCGCCTCATCACCCTGAAAGAATACTTGACGTCCACGTTCGCCTCAAGGAGGTGTGTGCTCTTTGAGAATGATTTTGATGCCGAAAGACTTGAACTCCTAGATGGCTTTGCCATACCACAGCTTCTTTCGGAGATTCATGGGTCCCCCATTTTGAGCGTGGGTCGACGCAACACAGGGATCGGATTTCACCGGCACAGTGCCGCGTGGCTGGCGCAACTGCAGGGTCGAAAACTGTGGTTCCTCCTTCCAGGTCACCAGGCTTTCGTTTTGACTGTGCAAGTTTTGTATCCAATGCTATTGAATTTTGACGATGAGGGAGATCTATAGACCTATATAGTATATTCTTGGGCAAATAAGACCATCCAAGATCATCCAAGAAAGATCGCTTGCCTTGAAAGATCGCTGTTCAAACATCTGGTGCTGCGAAGTCGAGGCTGACTCATACAACTCATGGACCAAATTGAAAGAATTGGTCTCAGTCTTTACGTTTTCCAGTTCCTCTTCTGCTTCCTTCATTTCTTTTAACGCTCTTTCTTTATTTGCTTTCCTTTTGTACCAAATCTCGTTTTTTTTTTTCTCGTTTGTCTTGCCTTGTCCTTGTCTCTTTGCGCTACTTCTTTTTCTTGCAGTGAAAATATACACCATCTCCAAATGTCCACTGCTTCAGACTCCTTCACAGCCGCAACACTCTTTCCTATGCTGGAAAAGGCTTGCTTCATATTTGATATAGTTGTTTGTTCCTGACGTTTGTACATGTCCGTAACTTAACGTCATTTTCTTGATCATGTCAATCACTAGCCAGCATGCTGCAGTCATTCACTCCGCAGATCAAATTATTTGCTATTTACTGTCATGTCTTTGTTCGGTCTGTTTGCTGCGTAGATCCGCCGGCCAGGTGGCCGTCGGCCTCCAGAACGGGCTCCTTGGCAGTACCTGACGCATCGGCCAAAGAGGATGATCTGCTGCGTTGCCCATCCTGGTGAGATCATCCTGGTGCCAGCAGGATGGACCTCAGGCTGCAGAGTCGCAAGCTGGTTCTTTCTTTTGGACGACAGACCTTGTGGCACGACGGCCACATGAGTGTTAATCATCCAAGGCTTGAAATCGATCCCCATGGAATCCATGGGCTGATGGATGGGATCCACCGAAGCTGTTCATTTTGCTTTTTCGCGGTTCAGCGTTCAGCACAAAACCCACCGGGTTTGCAGTGAACCAAGGTGGCATGCGACTTGGAACTTGGATGACTTTTCATTGGCAGCTGGCTGGGAAGAAGGCAATTCTGCCACCTGGGGGCCTGAGATGCATGCCATCGTCAATGGTACAGATCTTCCACTTGGCTTCGAGGTGTCCGTGCCAGCTCTCTGTTTGGCTGCTCGATCTGGTCGTGTTGAGACGTTGGAGCTTCTTCTGCAGCGGGGGGGCTCAGAACTGTTGCGAAAGGTGCAGACGTCGGCAGCTTCCACCGCTGTGGCAGCTGCACGGAGTGGCCATCTGCGCATACTTTCGCATCTCTGGGAGAAAGGTGGGTGCGATCCCAAAAAGTGGTTCCAAATGATGCCGTGGGCAAAGTTAGGTACAAAACCTTGATACACCAAGGGAACTTGCCCAATTATGACCAATTGACTCGTGCTGATCCCTCTTCCAGGTATCACTTCAGCTCTGTTCCAGGTGAGTCAGAGTGGAAGCACGGCGCTTCACGAAGCAGCACGCTGTGGTCGGGTGGACGTGATCGACTGGCTGCTCGTCCGCCAGGCGGACGTGCAGCAAAGGGACTCCGGTTCCACGTCGGCCCTGCAGGTGGCGGCGGAATTTGGACATCCTGGAGTGATCCGAAAGCTTTTGCAGCACAAGGCTGATGCTGAAGGACGTGAAGAAACCAAGAACTCCACTGCATTGATGCTGGCAGCGCTCCATGGCCATGTGGAGTGTGTGCTAGAGCTTCTTCAAGCAGATCCGTGCCTCGTGCACGGCACAGACCGGAAGGGCCGTAGTTCACTGCACCTTGCGGCCATGAGAGGGCACCAGCAGGTGGTCTTGGAATTGCTGAAAGCTTCAGCTGAAGTGCATGCCAGAGATCAGCTTGGTCGCAATGCTTTGCACTTGGCAACTTTAAGACTCACTGAGACCTGGAAATTCGAAATGGGACCAGTTGTTTGGTGCAGACGGTCAATTGGATCGTCATGACGTTTTTTTCCCCACGAAGCCTTGCCACCAAGCCCTACCAAACGCACAAAAAACAGTTCAGGAGTGGGTAAATCGGTCCAGTTAGTGCCAGGTTTTTGGGTTTAGGGTTCACCCTAGTGGTGTGTGATTTCAGATGTGAGGCGGCAGGTCTTGGCCCGTTTTTTGTTCTGGCCCGATCCGTTCTGGCACTCTTGGTGGGGGAGGCCAATTTTTTAAAATGATAGATTCAGGGATTTGGTAGGAATTTGCTCTCCCGGTGAGTAGCTAGCTAGCGTGTCGCGACTTGGTCGTGAACGAAGCAACCTGGACTCGAGGAACGTGACGCTACTTCCGAAAAGATCGAGCTTGTTGATGATGCGCACCTCCCTGTAGTGCTGGCTTTGCTGGAGGCGTCAGCAGATGTGGAAATGCAAGATGCTTTGGGCAAGTCTCCTTTGGACTACGCTGGCAGCGTGAGAGGGCAAGTCCTGGAAGCTTTGGAAGCGAGGAAAACTGGAATCTGTCGGCTCTAGGCATTTGCAGATCACACCTTAAACATGAGACGAAGAAGCAAGTTGTGGTTAGGTAGCTGCAGTGCATTTAGCTAGCAGATAGCATGTTTCATTTTTTTGCATGGCCATACAAATGCTTACTGTCAAACAGAAGAGCTTTGCAAGCAGACAGCAGGCAGGGGACGGGTCAATGTTTGGCATCTCAAGGCAAAGACTTAGTAGGCTCATAGTTGCCGGTGGTGCACCTCAATTTCAGGCCGTCTGACTGCGACGGTGTTGCTTTTGAGACAATCTTTGGATGGCTTCTGTCGGAGATGCACGGTGGAAGTAGCCTTGCACACATGCAAACAGGCGACAATGGTCTCAATTATAGCTTTAATCTACTAGTAAGAATGCTCCTAGTAGCGATGCCAGGAGCCCCTAGTAGCGTCCTTGCTCCTAGTAGTAAGGCCAGGAGGTTGTAGTAAGTAGCTTCTTGTTCCTAGTAGCGATGCCAGGAGCCCCTAGTAGCGTCCTTGCTCCTAGTAGTAAGGCCAGGAGCCCCTAGTAGCGTCCTTGCTCCTAGTACTATGGCCAGGAGCCCCTGGAAGCTTCTTGTTCCTAGTAGCTTTAATGACATTATGTCACCTTGAAGACCCGTGCAGAAGACACCTGCTGAGTGTCAGCAGGTATGGCGTCCCGGTGCCGGCTTCCCCTCGGTCGAAGATTGGCCTCGAGGTTCGCATCTGCCACCAGGTGCAGAACGAAGAAGCCTCGACTCGTTCCACGTGACTGTTTTGGAATGTTGTGATCAGTGATAATTGCAAACCTTACCATGGAGTTTTCGCGGGTGGTCTGAGGTTGTTTTCTGCATTGGGCAGTAGTGTTACGAGTTCTCACACGCTCAAATAGAAGGTTGCTGTCAAGAAACTAATAGAAACTGAAACTAAGGAAGTCCAAAGGATAGGCGTTTCTCCGAGAGCATCTTTCAAAGGATAGACTTAGACATACTTAGACCCACCCGTTTGAGCACATGTTGTATTTGCTACACACACACACACTTTCGCGACAGGTGGCACTCTTCCAGTAGCTGGCCTCTCAGTTTTGGGATGTCTGGCGCGTTTGACGGTGCAGAGAACGTGAAGAGCCTTGGAACGAGGCGATTTGCCCTCGCAGGCTGATGTGGTGATCATCGGGGGCGGCTCGATCGGAACGCGACTGGACTGCAAAGGTCATGTATTGGGTCTGTCCTATTCACGAAAGCTAGCTGTAGCTAGCTGGAGTCTGTCTTGCTTTAGCAAGGAGGGTGGGAGCCGAGGACCTGAGTGCAGATACCTGATTTATTTATCAGGCTTTAACCCCCCCCCCCTGCGGGTTCAACTCCACCCTTCTCCTCAGTACCTGCTGCTGCTTGGTCTCTTGCTGCTTGCATGCTTGGTGCTGCTGATTGCCTTTGGCTGCTTGCTGGTTGCTGCTGACGTGTTGGGGCATGAGCGAAGAGTTCGGTGGGGGAAGCGGGTGATGAAGAGTTTGGTGATGTTTGGTGGAAGCATGGCAGTAGTTGAGTTTTCCCTTTGTGCATCCTATATTAACTATACTATTGTCACGCTGCCCCAACTCGTGTCATGGTACGGTTGATGCCATTCATGCGGTTCAGGGTTGCTGCACTTGTTGCAACGCAACACTGCTGCTGCTGCTGCCTTTGCTGCTGCTGCTGCCTTTGCTGCTGCTGCTGCCTTTGCTGCTGCTGCTGCTGCTGCTTGGCTGCTGCTGCTGCTGCTTGGCTGCTGCTGCTGCTGCTTGGCTGCTGCTGCTGCTTGGCTGCTGCTGCTGCTGCTTGGCTGCTTTGGCTGCTTTGGCTGCTTTGGCTGCTTTGGCTGCTTTGGCTGCTGCTGCTGCTGCTGTTGCTGCTGCTGCTTGGTAGCTGCTGCTGCTGCTGCTGCTGCTGCTTGGTAGCAGCTCCTGCTGCTGCTGCTGCTGCTGCTTGGTAGCTGCTCCTGCTGCTGCTGCTGCTGCTGCTTGGTAGCTGGTGCTGCTGCTTGCTAGCTACTCCTGCTGCTGCTTCTGCTGCTGCTTGGTAGCTTCTGCTTGCTGCCGCTGCCGCTGCTGGTTACAGTTATTGTTGTTGTGGCTGCTGCTGCTGCTGCGGCGGCGGCGGTTGCTGGGGTGGTTGTGTGTTGCCGTGTTGGCTGTGTTGGGGTCGTATTGGGGGGGGGCGCTGTTGGCACTCTCCTTTTCCCTTGGCCATGGCATGTTGCGATTCCTCGGCCTGGCTTTTGCTGCCTAAAGAGCCCCAGCGTTGTTTATTTGCCTAGCTTTCGCCACCCCCCCTCTGGGCCACAATTACCTCTAACAGTCAGTAAACAATTATTATCACTATTCTTGAACAAGGCCTTTACTAGACTAACCATCATCATCCACTGTTATTGGCAATAGGATAGACCCAAGTCATGTACCAATAAATGGTGGTATTTTGCTGGGTGGCACGACCAAATCCTGCACCCCCTTTTCCATTGGCTTGTACGGTGGATAGGGTATCTCTAGAATGTGTGTTTGAACCGCAGGAGTTTGTCCAACGCTTCATCCAACGGTTTGGCTTTCCCCAAAAATCTAGAAACCAAATCATTAGTGCGAGCTATCCTGCGTCCATACTAGTAGCGTCCTAGCTACTAGCATCAACTAGCTACCTCTCCCTTACTCAATTAAGTAGGGGCCTACATAAGTAGGGAGGAGGGGGAGCGGGGGAAGAACAAAAGAGTAAGCCTTAGGCTGTTTTAGATTGGGCCCTTCCGTGGTCTTCTCCAGTCGACCGGTCCAGGTCCACGCTCTACCACCTGCGAAAGGAGGCTCGGACGAGCTACGTCACGTCGGCGGATGAACGGCGACCTGCGCCGACGTGAGGGGGTGAACGCTGTCCTTCTAGAGCGTCATCAACTCACTGCCGGCACGTGCCAGACTGAGACTGCTAAGTCTTTCCAGACTGAAGGCTGATGATAGATGAATTGAATATCATTCCATTGATCGACCTGTCCAAGATGAGTTCTGTCTCAAGATGCCCATGGAATCGGAAGCCTGAACTGGGTCCAGTGACTGTCAAACATGGAAGAGGTGATGGCTGGAGGGTCCGGTGATACAACTCTAATACAACGGACTTCACCTCCTCCTTCAGTTCAAAAGAATGCGCCAAGGCGAACGTGCCATAACGCGCCACCTAAGGACTTGGCATTCAGCAGGGATGCTTTGGCGCTTGCGGCCCTCAGATGCCGACATCGAGCTGAATGCTTACTCACGCCAGAGGCTCAGGAATCTCCGGGAATGCCACAGAGGATTTTTTTGGCCCCCTAAGAACCAGGAATCATGGTCACCCCACATGGAAAGGGATTCGAGGGTCCCCCCGAAGCCCCAGGGCTCTGCCGGTGTCTCCGAGTCCGACTCACGGTGGGCCGACCAAGGGGACATGTGCAAGCAGCTTGAGGCAGACGGTCCACGGCGCAAGCGCCCCGTGCGCATCCGGAATTGGTGACTCCATTTGAGGGAAGAAAGCAACACGGGACATGGCATGGCCCCGAAAGCTGAGTTGCATCCCCCCTGAGTCAAGCCCACGCGTACACCGATTTTCCGGGAGGCCGAAACGGAGATCGCCAGTTGGACCGAGAACGGTGGCCTCTTTGTGGGGACCAACGCGGAGCGCCTGGCGGAGTATCGGCGCTTTGCGGAGACGGGGAAGTACTTCGGCATCGAGAGCCATGTGCTTTCACCGGCCGAAGTGAAGGAGGTGAGCACCGGTATGTTTCGATGAAGCCAGCGGGTCTTGAAGTGTTGAATTAGTTGAATTATACAGGTGAGCGAAAGATGCAGAGTACAGCAATTCTTAAGTTTGGGTAACAGACACGAGGAGGAAGAAGGGCGTGAAGGGTCTTCACACAACGGAGATCTGCTTCGATGTATTGATGCCACATCATAAAGCATCAACAGAAGAGCGATGAAGAACCCCAAAGAACCTATTATCATCTATATTCGGAATTCAAGACCATTCTTCTCTGGAAGCAATGGGGTATACATTGACATGATACATACATGTTTCAGGTGCACCCCCTGCTGCGGGTGGATGACATCTATGGAGGTGTCTATTCGCCTGGCGATGGCACCATCGATCCCACAAGCATCTGCAATGCCTACGCGAAGGCTGCCCGGAAGTTTGGTGGCGGCATCTATGAGAACGTTGCAGTGAGTGGGATTGAGGTGGAGGACCCAATGGGCCTCTGTGGTGGTTGGATGTGGGCCTCTGGAGGATTCCATTCCGGGTAAGGTATTGAATGAGAGGGATCGAGACGTAGAGACCACGAAGCAGAACATACCAGGACCCTCCTGTCGGGGTGCCCTGTCTGGAAGCCTAGGCCGGTAGTGTGGGGTAGTCCAGCCAAGACACCCCGACAGGAGGGTCCTGGTACATGAAAAGACAATCCGGATGATTTATATAGGATGATTCAGGTTACTTCCGGCCTGAGTGAAGGCTATCAGCTGTGTTGAGTGCAGCATCGACATTTGTAAACAATTCGTCCTTTTGCTTTGGGAAGGACTACATGACTTTGGGAGGCAGCAACTCCCGGCGGGTGCAAGCAGTGCTCACTGCGTGTGGGAAGCGGATCGAAACCAGAACGGTGGTCAATGCCGGTGGTGCATGGGCCAATGAAGTTGCTTCCATGGTTGGTGTGGAAATTCCATTGAAAGCCATGAAACATGCAATGGTACTGACTGAGCCAATCGAAGGCATGCACAGCGGACTGCCCAATGTGAGAGATCATGATCTCAGCGTTTATCTTAAGACGCAAGGAGATTCCATGGCCATTGGCGGCTACGAGCAGAATCCCGAGTTCTGGCCAGATGTCGATCCTCAATTTGCCTTTGGCCTCTTCGAGCTCGACTATGACACCTTTGGCCAGAACCTCGCCGGTCACATGCAACGATGCCCTGTCATCGAAGAGACCGGCATCAAATCCACTGTCTGTGGGCCTGAGTCCTTCACTCCTGATCATAAGCCACTCATGGGGCCATTCCCAGGTCTGAGGGGTTTCTATTTGGCTTGTGGCTTCAATTCCATGGGCTTGATGCTGGGTGGAGGAGTGGGCCGGGAGATGACCAAGTGGATTCTCACTGGCTCTCCTGAGGTGGATCTCTTCAGCTTTGACTGTGCTCGCTTCCATCCGCAGAGCGTGCGAGATGCCCAGTGGGTGAAGGACCGCACTCATGAGAGCTATGCCAAGACCTATGCCATTGTGTTCCCACATGATGAGGCCCTTGCAGGCCGGGGTAGTCGCAAGTCTGCTCTCTATGATGAGCTACTGAGCCGTGGCTGTGTCTACCAGGCACGGCATGGCTTTGAACGACCTGGCTGGTTCGAGACTTCCCTCGTACCCGGCTCCCAGGAACCCAAGAGCTACGATTACTATGGCGCCTATGAGGAAGGAGCTTGGCGATTGGGTGAACAAGACCATCCAGATGTTCCGAGGCACGCAGAGCACAAATATTTGGATCTCATTGAAGATGAGCTTACTTTTGAATGGCCATCGAGCCATCGCACTGTTGCAGAGGAATGTCGAGCTGCACGCGAAGGCGTTGCATTCTTCGACCAGTCCTACTTTGGAAAGTTCTATTTGAGGGGTCCAGAGGCAGATAAGGCCGTACAGTTCTTATGTGGTGCTGATATGGAAGGAAAGCCTGTAGGATCAGTGACTTACACGCCCTTGTGTAACTCTCGAGGAGGGGTTGAAGCGGACCTCACGGTCACCAAATTACAGGAGAGCAATGGAAGCAGCTACTACTACTTTGCAGCTGGGGGGAATACAGCCACCAAAGATCTTGCATGGATCCGAAGAGTCCTTGAGGATGGCAATTTCAATGCCAGGATCGATGATGAAAGTGATTCACTCACTTTGATGTCTGTGCAGGGACCATACAGCCGGAAGCTCTTACAGTCGCTGACGTCCGCCGACATGGACAACGATGCCTTTCCATTTTCTTCTGCCAGGTGGGTCCAAATCGCCGGGTGTCAGTTTTTGGCTCTGCGGCTGACGTTTGTTGGAGAGCTGGGCTTTGAACTCCACGTTCCCTCGGAATCCGCGGTCGCAGTCTATCAGGCTGTGCGTGCGGCTGGTGAGGCACTAGCACAGTCTGAGTGCATTCCAGTTCGGGATGCGGGCTATCGAGCCATTGATAGCTTGTCTGCCGAGAAGAACTTGAGGCATTGGCATGCAGATTTGAGCAATCGTGACACACCTTTAGAGTCTGGAATTGGATTCACCGTCCTCTCGAAGCTCAAAAGGACCGGTGACAATGCTCCACGATTCCTGGGACGGGAAGCTTTGGAGCAGCAGCGACACCAAGGGCTACAGCGGAAACTGGTCTGTTTGGTCTTGGAATCTGGAGATGTTCCACTTCATGGTGCTGAGAGTCTTTGGAGAAATGGTGAGTGTGTGGGCTATGTCCGTTCCACTGCCTATGGGCACACGATTGGACGCTCCATCGCCTATGGGTACGTGGACTGCCCCAGGCGTTGCGTTGCAGTTTTGCATTGAGATGACAGATCAAATCTATCATCCACACCACACCCTGGTAACCTTGCATGAATCATGACTTTTAAGGTTTCGACTCGACTGAGTCTTGATCCATCTTATTTTCAGCTCCAGGTCTGAGGCGAAGATCACCAACAAATGGCTGGAAGCTGGAGAGTGGCAGATCGGAGACAAGGGCACCAAGCACGCTGCCAAGCTGCACCTGAAGGCTGGTGTCATTTGCACCCAAGTATTTGTTGTTCATTTCGGCTTCAAAGTGCTTGTTCGATCGATGCAGCTGTTACACAGTCTGCAGTCAGGCGCCCTTCGATCCCACCAACTCCCGTGTGAAGGGTAGCTACGAGATTCCAATGCCGTCATTGAACTTGGGTTCCTTGGACTAAGAGAGAGAGAGGGAGAGAGAGAGAGAGAGCGCGCGCGCGCGCGCGAATGGCAGGATCTTTAAAACAGGGAGGTCCTCCCAGGCGGTCACCCCCTGGGACAATAGGACAATAGACTCCAGTCTGCACATTGGGCCCGAGGGTCTCTGTATTGAGAATACACTTGTTCCACTTGAGTTTCGTTCTGTCCACTGCCAGACTTCACTGGACTGGGAGTCTGCACAATGGAAGGCTTTACCACCATTCAATCCGTCAATCCACAATATGAGACAGTCAGTATTGTTCAAAGATTTGCCAGCAAGGGCAACGGCAAGTCATGGCTCAGGGTGCAAATACCGAGTGAGAGGGGGTCAGATGCAAAAGATACATGATGTGAAGGACTACTGTATATGATCACATATTATTAATTAATAGTAATATTAATCTATATACATATGCATTGATCTTGGATGCTTTCAGTATTCAACTTTTGAACGATCATGGCCGGAGTTCGAACGCACAAACACCTCAATGTGAGGTCAAGCGCCTGCGCATGCTCAAGTTTGAAGGTTGGATATTTTCACTTGGACAGATTGAAGCGAAGTCAAGAACACCAGTTGCACAGTTGCCAGAAAACAGCAGGTGATTTCAATTCTCACGAGCTGGAGCTTCTACATATTTATACAGAAGGTTTTGCACGGATCAGACACAAAAGACACATGCCTTTTTTTGTTTGCCCTTGAACTGGGTAAATCTGAGCCCTGAGCAGGAGATTCTTTTGCCATGATCTTTGATGTGTGACAGCAAAATTTGACGCCGAGCTGCTTTGGGATCGTTCCATGATTTCTTCGGAATCGCGACAAACCGCTCCTTAAGCTCTTGAGTATGCTTAGTTTGTCCAGCCCAAGAATTTCCGAAAGCAGACCCAAAGCATGCTAGAAATGGCACTGCTGGCCAATTCACAGCATGACATGAAGGTGAGTATCGAACTCACATGTACACAAGTGTGAATAGCAATCTGGATAATTTGGCGCTGCCCTGCAATGCCTGAACAGATTCAGACGCCTTCCAAAAAAGCAGGGCAGGTCAAACTTAGCTGACCTTTGACGTCAGAGCAAAGAAAGTCGCAAGAGTTGTTGTCATGCAATCCAGCCTGCTTTGCCTTTGAGATCTTTGAGTATCTTCTCCCTTGAAGTCCTCTCAGGAGATTGAAGCGACCAAGCTCCACAGGCAAGGCAGTTTGGAGGTCAATTGTATCCCTACCGAGAGCATCTGGAAATCTGTTTTCCGGAGTTTCCGTCTCGGACGTCTTGGCCACGATGGGCGGCTGGTGATGCGGCCTCAGCTGACTGGCAGATGATCCCACGTGACTTGGTGCATTGAGGGTGCTTCGGAAAGTTTCAAGGCCACCTGTGTTGAGGGCTTGGCACATGGAAGTTTTTTTTGTGGAGTGGAGTTTCCTGTTTTGTGGGCATCTTACCAACACAATGAGAAGATCGCAAGTGTGTCTCAAGATTTTTTTTGTTGGGGCATCCATTAGTAGCTCAGCACAGACGATCAGCAAGTTCGACGTCCAGGTTTGGGGAGATGTCTAGCGCTGTAGAAGGCATTATGTCATACATACACACGGGATCTATGTGTTTGGGGCATCGAAAGCTTGAGATTTGATCAGTTTTGACTGGGTGCCCCGAGAGAAGACTGTTGGCGCATAGAGAACGAAGCAGGTTTCAGACAAGTGGATAGATCATGATAGAGATGGCATTTATTTGGGAAGTTCCCAAATCTTAGTTTTTTCAGGTCTACGGTCTACAGGCATTTTCCACCTTGGCCTTCTTGATTTGATGGCAGATAAATTCGTGCATGGTAAACAGACTTGGCATTTGTGCCGAGTCCCTTGTTCCAAGCAGAGTTGATGGGGGTTCCAAGCAGAGTTTTGGTCCTTCGGCCACCTTCCCAGGTGTCCAACAGCCTCCACTCGGGAACCCGCGCGGAACGGACGGAACTGACAGACGTTGGCACCGGCGAAGGATCAGGAGACCCCCAGACAGGACGTCTCAAAATGAGCCGTTCTCGGCTGAAAGCCCAGAGGATTGGATATAGTGATAGTCACAGACAGATGCACAGTTCCTACTTTGATTGCTATGGCAGCCTTGGCTTTGGTAGATTTTAGAAGGGGGAAGTGTTATGAGATGGTTGCTGCACCCATCTTGGAATGGAGGTGCAGGCTCAACCGGCCCTTGGAATTTCACTCGGCCGGTCCGTTCCACCAGAGGAACTCTTTTGGCCGGGTCAAGAAAGCGTGATCGTGTCACTCGCACGAGCCGCCTTTGTGATTCTGTGTACGGATGATTGTCACACCAAGTATTTGTAATCGCAAGTTCTTTCTGTGTTAATGGGTCTCACTCTCAAGCATATGCAAGTGAAGGATATCATGATGCATATCGCATCATCCAAGGAGCAAGTTATACCAAGTTGAGAGAAGGAACGCAACAAAACCACTTACAATGACTTGGATCCCGCTTGACTTGAGCAACCGTCTTCGTAGAGTTCGCATTCCAAATCATGCTGCGCGCTTTGCCATGTGTGTCCGCTCTTCCTCGATGTCGGGCCACCTCGAGGCAAGGCATCTTTGTTTAACGGCGCCGTGCAAACAGAGGCGTTGCGTGGAAACGAGTGATCAGTGTTTTGATGTGGTTTCACTTGCACACTAAGAGTTAATTTTTTTGATTCTTTTTTGATCCTTCATTTCTTTCTGCTGAAATTATATTACTCAATTTGGCAAAAGGTGGTTCAGCGAGATGGCTGCACCAGCAGAGGCATGACCTGAAGGAGCAAATCGCCAGTGCCTTCGTATCTTTCGTCCGTGCCTGGGCAAGGCAATCTCCAAAGCTGATGACGTCATCTCCAGAACAAGCCGGCTGTTTATTGATAACCAATACGTCGAGGCACGGGCAATGAATCAAAGATGCTCACACAATGTTCCATCGATGCTCGCATTTGCTGAGGCCGAAGGAGGACGGCTACCTGTATTGTCACCTGTAGATGGCAAACCTTTTGTCATCTACTTATGTAATCTTTCCTCCAGCTCGTTCATGCTTCTATGCAGGCCTTCATTCTACTTCCAGCCAAGGCAAGCATTGCTCATGCTTCTGCTCGTGACGTTGATCGAGCAGTGCAATCTGCAAGGCACAGCAAGAGAACCGTGAAGCTTACAAGCAGTGTGGGCTAAACACGTTTATATAAACCGTCTAAACTCTTCAATTGTTTAAACCGTTTAAACCAGGCACCTGCACCACCCTGCTTACAAGCTTTGTTGCGTGTGCGTTCCATGTGCGTTGCAGGAGATGTTTCGACCATGATTGTTGGCCCCAGCAAGATGTGCAGGCGAAACATGGTATAATGGTGAACTCCTGTTATGTTGTAAACTCAAGAATCCAGGAGTCATTTCGGAGCGACTTTGCGCAGCAAGGATGTCCTCAGACTCATATGTTAATGTTCTTTGTTTTCCCCGAAACTGTGTGGACACACTTGGGGTTCTTAGGGGTTCCTCACACACACTGTTTGGGGGTCTCCTGCCGAGGCGAGGGTGGAGATCCTCAAGAGGATCGCTGCAGCTCTCCGAACGCCGGAGGCGACGGTCACGGTCGCAGTGGACGGTGACGGTCACGGTGAGACGAAGGGCAGGGACGAAGGGGGACGAGCGCAGGACGGGCACTCAAGTCTAATGTATTTTGAGGTGAGGTAAAATGCTTTTTAGGTCACTCGTGAGCTTTTTGACACTCTATGAGGCAAAGGAAAAACACAGGATGTTTGATGATCTTTGTTATCATGTTGGCTGTGGACAGGTGTACACATGTCACTCTGGACGGGCGGATGCTGCTTTGTTGACCCAGGTTTGCGATGCCCTTTGTGCCCCTTGGCTCCCTTTACTTGGCCTAACTGAGATGCTTTAGGCGCCCTTGATGCTTTGGCGCCGGCTGACCAAGGTCATTGAAAGCCGGGACTGTGGAAAACCCTTTTCTGAAAGCAGGAGCCCAAACTGAGAGTTGTATCATTCGAAAACTGAGGGGGAGATACAGTTATTCACCAAAGATTCCAGACTTGTTGAGGTCAAGGAGATCTTGGTGTTTGCGCGGATACCTTTGACTACTACGCAGAGGCACCGCTGTGCACGGCCGTGGAACCTACGGCCGCCGGCCTAGTGCTTGGCTTTTGGAGTCTGTCTGCCAGGTTGCACCGGAGACCATGAAGACAACGTATCCGAGTGTTGGAGCTGGTGCCACTCACTTCTACGCAAGGCGAGATGCTTGGTTCACATCCCCCCCAAATCGCTAGCCTTCTGAATGGCCTTTTGAATGGCCCATGGTGGCATGCTGCCACCCACCGTGCCACACCACTGTGCATCCGGACGATCCTCCAAACCGCTGGGAGCGAGGATCGCTGTGGAGCCCCTGGGAGTGGTTGGGCTCGGGGCTTGGAGTCGCCGCTGCGTCCGTCGCGTGTTGAAACGAAGGGAACAGCGCATGGGCGACCGGCCCCCGGTGAGGTGCATCACTCCATGGAATTTTCCTTTGATGCAAGCGGCGTGAAAGCTCAAGTGATTGATCTTTCCTTTTTTGGATCATCCGATGATCATCCGATGACCCTTGAAGATGCATGCTTGCACCCTTTTGTTTGAGAAGGCCCCCATGCTCACCTGACCGAGGTCCTGAAAGTTGCCCCGGCGCTCGCTGCAGGCGACATCATGCGACATGATGCGACATGAGTGTTTCATGAGAGCGGCATGACGCTGTTGAACGTGACACGAGCGCAGCTGAAGAGTTGGACGATGGCGATGTTTTGGCGCCCCAAAGATCCCAAAGAGCAGAGCGCCCCGTGCAACGAGCCTGGGTTTGGGAGAGCCACCACGAGCCAGTCTATGAGTATAGCCCAGTATAGCTTAGCAGCTGATCTCTGGAGCAGATGCCAAACACAGGCTGTGCCGTGGTCTTGAAACCCTCACCTTTGGCATCGTTGACTTGCTGCGCATTGGGAGAGCTAGTGGCAGCAGCTGGTGCACCACCAGGACATTAGAAAGGGCTTGAATTTTACGACTTTTCATGCCTTTCAACGAACAGCGCCCTACACAAAACTCAAGCCAAGTAGATGAACAGAAGCATGGGATGTTCTGTTGAAATTTGGATAACATTTACGCTGTCCTCCCAAAGTATGATAAGTACGTCCGGTGTCCATTGAATTGATGCCGCTTCGGTGGCTTCTTCCACTCATGGCTCCCTGGATGGTTGAGTCGCTGGGCCGAAGGAGCTCTGAACGTCATCACTGGTGGACCACCGGAAGTGCTGGAAGGTGCTCGGGGGAATGCTGGTGGGCAAGAGATGGAGCAAGCTTGATTTGTCAGATTTTGCTCTGGGCTGCACGCAGGTGGAGGTAGCACAGGGCAGTACCTCATCGATCACAGCATGTTGGACAAGGTGGGGCAAACTCTGACTCGTGTTTCAGTATTTTCACATCAACATATGTATATATATATATACATATTGCTTGATCATCATGCCAGATGCAGGTATCCTTCACGGGAAGCGGAAGTGCTGGACAAAAGATGCTGGAGGTTTGAGCTTTTTGCAAGAGTTTTTTGTATAGTTAAATTCTTTTGGCAGGTAACCTGCCAGGCTTAGCTAGCTTGGCTTTCGCCCTGATCTGCTCCAGTTGCCTCAGGCCTCTGCATCGAAGCTACGCCCGACTTGCTTGGTACGGCTCTCGATCCTTGTTGTTGAACTTGTGTTGCTCGAAGTACTCAGGAGTTGGGTGGAAAGTCAGCCTTTATTGTATTTGAAGCCGGGACCACAGAACGAATGAATTCTCCAAGCAATGTGCAGTCTGGACAGCCTTTTCAGCAGCTCTGTGCGGTCCAGACACTGCGCTTGTTCACCGCAATCCACTCCCAGGACGCCGCAGATGACTTGGATCATCTCGTGGACTGGGTTCGAGCCCCAACCGTCGACCACGGCGGTCACACGGGGCGTCGGACCGGACCTGAGACTCAGGTCATGGTGGGTATTTTCCAATGCACCGGTCAGGTGTGCCCGGAGCCCCAGGTGCACGGACCAGCCAAGACACGAAGTAGAAGGGTCAGTGTTTGTTGCAGTGTTCCACAGAACCAGGTTCAGCAACAAGCCGCCTGCTGATCCACGAAAGTTTGGAGGCCAAGCTTGTGGAGCGGCTGCTTGAGGGCATCAGGAGCAACTGGAATATGTGGGGAGATCGTGCGCAGCCGCCAAAGAATGGCTCCATGTTTGTTGCCCAAATGACCTTTCTTCTAGTTTCGCGTAACCTGACGAGACCTGGGAGATGGAAGTGATGCATGTCGAGATCGGAGTGTTACCAGGAGCATCAAAGTCGGGGATCCCTTGCAGAAGGGAACCTTGATGGGTCCTGTGGTCTCAGAGGCGCCTTCTTCCCTCAAGCCTTGGGCGGAAACCCCGTCTTTTGCGTGTTCAGCCCGTTGGTCCTTTCACTACCAGGG